TCATTTAGTCAAATTTTAGTGATTTTTGTGAAGTTGACACTGGACTTCTATGGACATAGTGCATGCTGTACATGTATATACAACAGAGTGCACTGAATGCAGAACGACTTTTAAACTTTTCATATATTGAGAGCATAAGTTTAAAAATACTTAATCTCGATAGCGATGGCAGTGTAATTTTTAGAAGCTACTGGAATTATTTTTTTATCACTACTACCTAATTCTTCACCACGCATGAGGAAAGTGACTCAATTAGATGCCATTTGCGTTGTTTCTGAGTTGTTAATTGCACCGTAGCCAGCAGTCATAAAAATAGTATTTTTTATTTTTTTTTAAATTTGAGCGGAATTCAACTAGATTGTAACCACTAGTTTAAAATTTCTGCCCTTTTTTGATTTCAGGAGTATGACATATTACATACATACATATGCGATGCTTCCACACGACATTGCATTTGCTTCGCGAATTTTGAAGCCGGCGCCAATGTTGTTCCAAACTCCATTTATCAAACTGCTCTCAATTTCAGGCTGCAGAACATGTGCGATCTGTTACGCAAAAAACTTGTATTGGCTGGGATGTCACCTTCAAAAGAAAAGTCAATATCAACCTTGGATTCGTCTGTACGAATGCACATGACCTTAATGAAGAGCACCTATGCGAGTCGAGTATGTTTCTATTTACTTATGCTCTATTTTTGTTTGGGACTAATGTTAATAACTGACTAACCTTTTTTGCAGGATAAACCGAAAGCATTTGATGCTAAGGTAATCCTTGATGAGTACAAAGATTATCATTTTGGAATTTTCAAAATCGAGAAGGTGAGCGTACCTTTGAACACATTCTCTTTCTGTTGTAACTTAGCCTTTATGAACGAGGAGTCTAGCGACTCCCTATTGGTAGGATGTTAAAAATGGGGTTTATCACACAAAATCGTAAAAGTTATGCTGAATATCGTTGGAAAGTCCTGTTCACGAGGATGAAGCAACTTTTTAAAAGCCAAATGCAAGCTATCGAATGTTTTTATTCAATTTTGTTAAAGCCACTTGAAGGATAATGAAAGAGAAGAGTAAGACCATTAATATTAAAATGCGCACAATCTCTACATATATAAAGTTGAAAGTCGGTATGAATTTGCGTATGAGTGTATTTACTTGTGTAAGTATGCTTGTTTTGAATTTAAATTTTTACATCTGAGCCGATGAAGCCTAAACTTTGCAAACATGCATGGGAATGAGCGGTAACATAGACTAATTTCTACGTTAATTGGTTATTTGGTATCTTTGCTTACGATTTACGTAGGCCACAGTTAAGAAATTAGAACATTATTAATACTTTCCATCAGACTGTATAACCAAGGCTTGTAAACAG